TGGAGGGGAGGGGGGGGGCGTCTTGAGGCCTTGACACGGACACTTGCGGATAGAAGGCCTTGGGCGGCGGCTGTCGCCTGCTCGGGCGCCTGTCGCGCCAGCATGTGCGCGTGGGCCGCGCGTTGTGATTTGGGTGGGTTCGGCAGTGGCTCGCACCTGTTTTGGTCCTCTCGCGCACGGACACTTTGGCACTCCCCGCCACACACACACTCCCTTGTGCTCTCTTCTTCTCGTTTTGTGCGCGCGACGTGGTTTATGGGTGTTTATGAGGGATGTACAATTCACATCAGCCGATTAGGCCACAAAAATCAAACGGAAATTTCGCAGGCTTCCTCTACGCTCTTCTGCGCTGGCTCTACTTATCGTACTTTAGCCGTCGCGCGTCGGTCTTACGTCTTAGTCTGAAGCCACCCCCTCGCCGAACGCAGCGCCGCCATCCCCCGCCGTCAATGCCGTTTCCGCCGCCTCGGCCCCAATCATCACCTCCCCCTCCGCCGCCTCGCCGTCGCGTGCGAGCCACGCGAGGGTCGAAGCGACGCCACTCACACGGGTCAGAAGCCTCCGGCGCGAACAGACCTCGCGCCACGCGCCAAAGTGCAGCCGCGCCGACCCTCGCCGCCGCAGGCCCCACAGCGCTCTCTTGCCGGCGTCGGTGGCGCGCCAGTGCAGCGCCACCTCGCGCGCGCACCGCAGCGAGAGCGCGTGCTCCCTCTCCTCTGCTGCCTCCAGCTCGGTGCACAGCGAGGCCACCTGAGCACGCAGCACCTCCGCCTCCGCCGCCGCCGCCGCCGCCGCCGCCACCGCCTCCGCCTCCGCCACCTCCGCCTCAACACGCGCCTCCGCCGCCGCCACTCGCACCTCCTGCTCCACCGCTGCCGCCGCCGCCTTCTCGGCCGCCGCCGCCACCTGCTTGGCCCTGCTTGTTGCCGCCTCTGCCTCGCCGCCGCCGCCCACCGCGGGCTGCTGCGAAGCCAGCAGCGGGCCGAGGTTCTTGAGCATGCGCGACTGCGTGTGCGCGGCGCGCCAGCCGTGCCAAGCGAGGCGCAGCGTCGCGGCGTCGCGCAGTGCAAAGGCGCGCCTCGCCGCCGCCCGTCTCTCCTCATGCACGGCGAAGCTCGAGGCGGCGGCCGCCGCCGCCAGCGCAAACGACGAGGAGCGAAGTATGCCGCCACCGCTGCTACAGCCGCCGCCGCTGTGGCCGCCGCCGCCGCCGCCGCTGTGGCCGCCGCCGCCGCCACCGCCCCGGCCGCCGGGATCGTCCCACGGCGAGACTGCGCGCTCCGGCGTCGCGGGCAGCGGCGTGTCGCCGCCTCCTGTCGAGCCCTGCTCCGGCTCAGAGCCGGCGGCGGAGCCGCCGTCCCCGGTGGCGGGAGGTGTCGAAGGACGCGGCAGGCCCGGGCCGAACGGGTTGAGGTCCGGAGGGTACCAGGCCGGAGAGGCGGCGCCCTCGGGCGCGGCGGCCTGCGCCTGCTGCCTGCGTAGGAGCTCGCGCATGGCGTAATTCTCGTGCTTGAGCGCGAGGAGGTTCTCCTGCAGCGCTCGGAAGTCTGCCAGCGTGACGCGGGCGGACATGAATGTGGGGGTAAGGCGGGGCACGCGGGGCACGCAAACAACCAGCCCCCCCCCCCCGGGGGCGGGCGGCGCGCCAGCGAGAATTCTTGTTTGGCGCTGCAATCTGTTGCCGCGAAACTTTCGCGTCAGTCGACGTTCCGCGCTGTGTGTCGCGCCTGAGCTCGCCCTTGGCGCCCGAGGCTACCCGGGACCGACAGACAGCATCAAAGGACGCGCTAGATGTGCTGTGACCGGCGCGTCTCTCTTGACCGGCACGAGCAGTGCTGTGTGCGGCGCTCGCCACCCCGGCGATTGTGCTGCGACGGCGGACGGCGTGGTTGCTCAGATGGCCTTATGACGACCCCGTTTCGACATCGTCCCTAAGGCCTCTGCTCATGAGCTCCATGCGGGAATGATTGGCTGAACCAACTGATCACAAATTCTCTCTGCAACATCAGAGTCGTCGAATTATGCTGTCACGAGGAAGAATTTTGGCGCTTTGTGAGATATCGTGGGAATTTGTGATCAGTTGGTTGAGCCAGTCATTCCCGCGTGGAGCTCATGAGCAGAGGCCTTGGGGACGATGCCGAAACGGGGTCGTCATAAGGCCATCTCAGTGGCTACGCGGCCTGCCACGGCGTGTGTGCCACGACTCTGGACGACTCTGAACTGGCGCTTGATGCGGGCATAACTTGCGATCCCGACCTTGCGCGATGAGCCTATTAGTGCATTCTACCATCTACTCGCACATGGCAAGCATGGGCGACGCCTCAGGCCCCATGCCGGCCATCCAAGATATGCGTGCGCCAAGGGTTTGCTACCACCTTAATTCTCTATTCGTTACAAGCCGATGGTCCCTGGTAGCTGTCACTCGCAACCCACACACCGTACCGCACCGCGCGCCCGCCCACCGCCCCGCCCAGGCGGGAAAGAGATGAGTGAGGGGATGGGACACTCCAAGTGCTCCACAAGGGACAGCGAAGGAAGGCCCAGGTGTGGCCTAGGGCATCAGAAGGGACCAAGAGGAGTCCAGTCTGAGCCATAGAGCCCATGTCTTTGCCCCCGAAGGTCGCGTTCAAATGCCCGGAACGGACGTTACAGTGGTGTCCGGCCGGCGCGATCACCGAGCTGTGACGCTCAGGGAAGCCCGATGAGGTACTGGTTTCTTTGCCCAGGGCTGGCCTACGGCCCGTCGTGCTGGATCAGCTGAGCAAGGTTTGGGGAGAATCCCCCGGTCAGATCTTCAGATATTTTGACGGATGACAAAAATCACCCCGTTTTTGCCCATTTTCGGTCGTTCATCAGTGCGGTCGCGGTGGAGGAGTGCATCAGTGCGCTCCGGCTCGAGCTGCCGCAGGAGCTGATGGACGCGGTGGACATAGCTGCAAAGTCGCGTTGTGTTGCGCCAGCGTCCGAATCGGCTGGCCACGCCACAATAGGTGGACGTGATCCACGAGCAGTACCGCCACCCGTCCCTTTCTCCCACGACAAGGAGGTGGCGATGCGGGCCTGCTGGCTCAGCCGCGCAGTCGCATCGCGCTCGCTGCGCATTCGCAGCCGCTGCGGCTGGCGGCCGCTGCGTTGGCGGGGGCGGCCGCGGTTGCAATCGCGACGCGTCGCTGACCGGCGTGCGGGGGGATTGTGTCCACGCCGCACGCGCCCGCACGCGCCCGCACGCGCCCGCACGCGCCCGCGCGCGCCGGAACGCGCCCGCCATGCGGTAAGTAGAGAGGTGGGGTAGAGCAGCGGACGGCTCACGCCCATATGCCATATGCTCTGGGCCCTAGTGTGGGTTCGGGGGACGCGTATTCACACCAGTGTGATGGGGTCCCCTACACCCGCAATGATTTCTTTTTCCAGGGCGGAGTATGTATGCGTACGTGTCCCAGTATGGATTGGTGGGTGCGTGACGGTGGGGATTGCTCCAATGATTGCAGACCGACAGAGCACAGAGGTAAGCGGTAGGGTAAGGTAAATTTCTCCACACACACACAATGAAAGTGGTGGGGCAAGGGGGGGCGACCCTCGCATCATCTCCACACCCGGACAGTGACAATAGCCGGCCACCTGTGTTCAGTCTTCAAACGATGCATTTTCCGTCGCGCACACTGTCGCTGCGCTCACCTGTGATCTGTGTGCAGCCCCCAACCTTAATCCATAGCAGAGGCGTCGCCCGCCCCGCCCGTTTCCACCCGCCCGCTGTCCACCGCCGGCGAGGAAAACTGCTCGGCGGCGTCGAAGCGCGAGAAAGCGAAGCGCGTCTCGTACGGCGTCGCTACCTCATACAGCGCGGCGGAGCCTTCGATGGCGCCCTCGGCCTGCGCGAGTGTGAGTGAGTGTGAGTGAGTGACAGTGAGTGACAGTGAGTGACAGTGAGTGACAGTAAGTGAGTATGAGTCTCACACACACACTCGCCTGCGCGCGCGTCTGAAAACGCCCCTCCTCGGGATAGACGTCCGTCGCTCCGTGGCGTGGGCCCTCGGCCGAGAAGGCCTGTCCGATTATGCCTACAAACGGGCCGGCGGGCCTACTATGCTCCCGTAGCAGCCCCGCGGAGAGACGCCAGTGTGCCGGTGTGCGCTTGTGTGCCAGGTGCCACGCCCTTGCCGTGCTGTGAGAGGTATGTATCTTGAGAATTCTACTCGACGATGCCGTGCGGGAGAGCACGCGTCGCGGCGCCGGCCGCCGCGCTGATGCCAATGTCAAGCCTGTGGCTCGGGCCGGAGAGGCGGTCGTAAACATGATTTCCTATGTAGCACTTGTGGCACGGTTGCAATCAATCGAGTTCCGCCAGGGCTGGCGCTCGTAGCGTGGTTCTGCCGCGCACGACGAAGGTCCAGCCCCGCACAGAGAAGTTGGCGCTCGAGAAGTGCGACTGCACGAGCACATCCTCGCACCGCCTCGTAAACGCGATGCCGCCCTCGAAGGGCTTCCCGCCGCCGCAGGTGCCGCGTAGATAGGTGAAGCCGGCGTTCTGCTCGGTGAGCTCGGAGGCGCGGTACGAGACGTTGAAGTGCTTCTTGTAGGCGCCGGCGCATTTGGACGACGGTGCCTCGGGAGGGCACACGCCGGCGCCGGCGACGAGGTGCGCCTCGGTGATGAAGGAGCCGTCCACAGTGAGCTTGCCATCGTGCAGCGTGAAGGTGGCATCCTCTGTCTTGACGTTGAGCGAGACGCCCGGCGCAGAGAAGAAGTTGTAGCAAGCGCCGTCGCGGCCGCGCAGGTCTGCCACGCCGCCGTAGGGGAAGTGAAGGTGCGGATCCTACAGCCAATGAGAACACCGAGGTGCCGCCGAGGCTCTGGCCGAGACTGCGCGGGAATGGGAGGCCGTGCGGTCCTGTTCGACCACGGCCTCAGGGGGGGGCGGCGGCGACGGCGGAGGGGAGGGGGGCAACTCCGACGGCGGGGGCGGCGACGGCGGGGGCGGCGACGGGGGAGGCGGCGATGGGATCGATCCCGGAGGGTAGTTAAGGGTAAGATAGCAGTCCTGGTAAGATAGCTTTCCGCATGCGCTTTCCAAGGATTCCTTGGAAAGCGCATGCAAATTGAACTGAAACAGAGCGTAAGCACTTTCTGGGCAGTCGTCGAGAGGCACGATCTCGTCAATTTGGACCGCCGCTTTGCCTCCGGTATTCAGATTCGACAGGGTAGCGGGTATCGCAAGGTTTCCATCAAGAGCTTGTCCGTCGCTGTCCGTGAGCCAGCACGAAAGCCTTGAATCCCAAAGGACGTGTGTATCGTCATAAGGAGCATTGATAAGGATCACCTTGTCGAAGCTTGTGTCGGTGGCACCAATGCAGGTCCCTTCGAAGAATCTAGTCGATGTGCAACTAGTGACCCTAATCCTCGGCCCTTCCGAGCAAGCTATCCGCCCAGCGGTGCACCCGTCAGGCCCCGCAGGTGGCGGCAGAGGGGAGGGGGGCAACTCCGACGGCGGCGGGGGCGGCGACGGCGGGGGCGGCGACGGCGGTGGAGATGGTGGCGGAGAGGGCGGCATTTCTGACGGCGGGGGTGGTGACGGTGGGGGAGGCATCGGTGGAACTGGCGGTAGCACCAATGGTACTCCGACGGTTGCACCGCCATTGCCGCCGCCAGGAGGGGTGGGAGGCGGAAGTCCAACCCCGCTGGCGGCGGAGGCGGAGGAGGCAGATGAGGACCCCCCGCTGCTGGAAGCCGAGGATGACGCGGCAGCTGAGGAGGAGCCCCCGCCGCTGGACGAAGATGCGGCGGCGGCAGACGAGGAGGCGGAGGAGCCCCCGTTTGTGGCGGATGCGGCAGAGGACGAGGACGAGGACGACTCTTGCAAGGCTCGATGCGCCCTCTCCACGGTGGATACAGCGACGAGGAGCAGCGCGAGAGCCTGCATATGCATTAAGTGTGAGCGGCCGCTACGACGACGACGAAGGGATCGTGGATCGCAACCCGTTGTAATTTGCGACGGGTTGCGATCCACGAACGTTTGTTGGCAGCGCCCGACGTTCATTTTATGTAGATGGCAGCGCCCGACGGCAGCAATACAGTAGGGGGAGGGCTCCCAGGGCTTTGAGTTTTTTCAGTTGCAACCATGATGCTCGCAGCTCGGCTCTCCAGTTAGAGGGCGTACAGCGCCCAAATCTAAAATCCGACGATTAAGGATTCAGACTTCGCTTTAGTGAGGCCAAAGTGAGTTTATGGATGGGTGAGAACGATGCGCGACACGAGGAGGCACGCGGAACAACTCGTCGGTGACTCTGCTGCACGCCGTTTCAGAATCTTTCTCGGCGTGAGCGAGAGACGTGGAAGAGTGCCACCGTCGGGTAGGACGGGTCGGCCCGGAGCATCGGAGTAGCCGTCGTGGTCGCGGCGAGCAGCGCCGGCCACTCCGGCGCCGCGTCGGCAACATGGGAGCATGTCCACCGCCACTTCGCGGTCGCAGCGCTGTTGTCGCCCGAAACGCCGCATATCCCTCTGGCGGGCCAAAGATCGACTCGCATGTCGATTTTGACTTGACGGCGGCATGGAGGCATCACGTCTCCATGCCGCCGTCAAGTCGGAGCCAGTCTGCGGCGATCATGCGAGCTTTTGAGAGCAAGCTTTTGCCCGAAATCCCACACTGCTGGATTTTGGGCGCTGTGGGGGGGGACCCCCTAATGGGGGCGACGGCGAGGGGCTCCACACAAGGTCTCTTTTCGACGGAGTCGGGAGTGTGAGTGTGGACAGAATGCAGTTGTGTGCGTGTGGAGAAGTTGCCTAAGTTAGGTACCTAGATCTCATGAACGCCGAAATAACATGCAATGTGAGAAAACGCCGCGCGGCTGCTGTGCGGCCACTGGTGCTCCCACCGTGAGCCATTTCACAGCCGCGATTGAGCTGTGGAGAGCATGATGGCCTGGCTGCGCGACGACCCGAGACTCCCTCGGTCGCCGAAGACATCCGGCGAGGCGGAGGTGCGCGAGATTGAATCTGGCGAGATTGAATCTGGCGAGAGTGGAGACTGGCGGCGGACCCGTGCGCGCGGCACAACGTCCTCGCTCGGCGAATCTCGCCCAATCTCGCCCAACCTCGGCGAGCCTCAAAAGTCCTCCCACGGGACCTCGCTCCACTCCTCCTCGAGGACCGCGCCGAGTCGCTCCATCTCCTCCAGCTCGGCCGCCTGCCGCGAGGAGCCGAGAGGTGCCGCGAGGAGCCGAGAGGTGCCGCGAGGAGCCGCGAGGTGCCGCGAGGAGCCGCGAGGTGCCGCGAGGAGCCGCGAGGAGCCGAGAGGAGCCGAGAGGAGCCGAGAGGAGCCGAGAGGAGCCGAGAGGAGCCGAGAGGAGCCGAGAGGAGCCGAGAGGTGCCGCGAGGAGCCGAGAGGTGCCGCGAGGAGCCGCGAGGTGCCGCGAGGAGCCGAGAGGAGCCGAGAGGAGCCGAGAGGAGCCGAGAGGAGCCGAGAGGAGCCGAGAGGAGCCGAGAGGAGCCGAGAGGTGCCGCGAGGAGCCGAGAGGTGCCGCGAGGAGCCGCGAGGTGCCGCGAGGAGCCGAGAGGAGCCGAGAGGAGCCGAGAGGAGCCGAGAGGAGCCGAGAGGAGCCGAGAGGAGCCGAGAGGTGCCGAGAGGAGCCGAGAGGTGCCGAGAGGAGCCGAGAGGTGCCGAGAGGAGCCGAGAGGAGCCGAGAGGTGCCGAGAGGAGCCGAGAGGTGCCGAGAGGAGAGGAGAGGTGCCGAGAGGAGCCGAGAGGAGCCGAGAGGAGCCGAGAGGAGCCGAGAGGAGCCGAGAGGAGCCGAGAGGTGCCGAGAGGAGAGGAGAGGTGCCGAGAGGTGCCGAGAGGAGCCGAGAGGAGCCGAGAGGTGCCGAGAGGAGCCGAGAGGTGCCGAGAGGTGCCGAGAGGAGCCGAGAGGAGCTTAGATCAGCCGAGATCAGCCAGATCTCCAAGCTCGGCCGCCTGCCGCGCTGCCGCTTCTGCGGCCGCCCGCTCCGCCTGCCCACAGGGGGAGTGCGTGAAGAGCCGCTGTTCACACCTGCTCGGCAGCCCGCCGGCTGCGGAGCCATCTATCCGCCTGCGCTCTCGCGGCCTCTGCCGCAGCGAGCTCGACCGCCTTGCGAGCAGCAGCCTCGGCCACCTCTCGTTCCGCCTGCACCCTCGCCGCCTCTGCCGCCGCCGCCTCTGCCGCCGCCGCCTCCGCCGCCGCCGCCTCTGCCGCCGCCGCCTCTGCCGCCGCCGCCTCTGCCGCCGCCGCCTCTGCCGCCGCCGCCTCTGCCGCCGCCGCCTCTGCCGCCGCTTTTGCCGCCGCCTCTGCCGCTGCCGCCTCCTCTGCCGCCACCGCCTTCGCCACCGCCTCTCCCTCCGCCTCCGCCGCCTCCTCCGCCACCCGCCTCTCCTCCGCCTCCTCCGCCACCCGCCTCGCCTCCGCCTCCTCCGCCTCCGCCCTCGCCGCTGCCTCCGCTTCCGCCTGACTAGCCTCAGCCGCACTCCGCCGCCTGACTCGCCTCCGCCGCCTCCGCCGCCACCGCCTTAGCCCTAGTCGCCGCAACCTCCTCAGCCGCAGCCCGACTAGCCGCAGCCTCCGCAGCCGCCGCCGCCGCCGCCGCCGCCGCCGCCTCCGCCTCAGCCGCAGCCGCCGCCGCAGCCTCACGCCGCCCCCGATGCCTCCACCGCCACCTCCTCCGCCTCATCATACTCATCATACTCCTCCTCACAC